GCAAATGCTTCTTTCCGAGCAAGCACAAGCGCGCTGGCCCCCATACAAATAACGAAGCACAGCGTGGCTGTGATAACTGCATATTGAACTAGCGAGATGCAACGGCCACTTCTACTCTAACAGTCTATTTTCTCGCACTTTCCACCTGTGGAACTGCCTTCCGATTTCTCGCTAACCACCATCTCCAAAAGTTTAAATGCAACGTGAACTGTCAATCATTTGCCTTCTTTTTTTTGTTCTTTCCGTAATCCTTTTTTTTTTTTTCACTCTCTGTAACTCCTTGCGTTTGGATGAAAGGATTAAAAAAAAGAAGAAATTGTAAAAACGCCTACTAAGATAATGAAGGAAAGGGAGAAGAAAGTGTCGGAGTTAACTCCTCCTTCAGTTCTTAACCCTTTCACCAGGGGTCGCTCTTCGCTGCTATAAATAGCTGCGGACCCTTCGCCTCTATTTCTTTTTCCCTCAGGCCTGTGCGCCGACACCTTGAGGTAAATCTCTCTTTTCCGTCAGGCTTTCAGCTATCAACCTCGAAATGTAGGCGCTAACAAGGGATAGCGTTGAAACACGCTAAGCACAATACACACGCACGCACATACAGAATATTCACACACGCACGCACATACAGAATATTCACACACGCACGCACATACAGGATATTCACATACACTTCATCTTTTGTACTGTTTCCATGTATTGTAACTTGTTATTAATATATATTTGTATATACATATATTATCGGTCTTGTGTTTTGTTTGCTTTTCTTTGCCTTCTTCTTTGGACTTAATCAGAGTCCAACCTTTTTATGTAGTTGGGCCCGGCGAGCAGGAGTATCTGAACCTTACATGCGTTTCTTCTACGTCTGACTCCACAACATCACAGCCACGGCCCTCTACAAAAGGATTAAGCATCACTTATAAGAAGATAGAATGAATGGTTGTCAATAAAAAGAAGAACCCAACATGCAAATTACAAATTGAAGATAACATGATCAAGCAAGTATAAAAATTTAAAAAAAAACCCCTGGGAAGTGTTTTAACAGAAGACGGAAAGTGCGGCACCGAAATACGAAGAGACGTTGGAATATCGAAAGATGACTTCCAAAAGCTAAGCAATGTCTCAAGAAAAAGAAAATATGCCAGCGAATGACAGATGAAGAAGATATGCGAAGCAACAGAAATGTAGTTCTACAGAAGGATGCTGAGGATACCATAGACCGTACATGGGACCAACGACGAAGTTTTAACGAAAACGGCTACAAAAACGAAACTTATAATTAACATCGGGAAGAGACGACTGAGGTTTCTGGGACACATAATGAAGAAGGAGGGCTTGGAAAATTTGATACTCACAGGACAGGTGGAATGTAAGAGATACAGAGGAAAGCAATGCCCAATATACCTGGCGACTTTGAGTGAATGGATGGCAGAACAGGGTTTAGGATAGATAACAAAAGATAAAATTTATTAAGAGTTAGAAAGAACAGGAAATTGTGGAGTGCCCTGATTACTACAGGGACACGGCACATAGAAGTAGAATACGACAAATACTATTAGCGTATATAAGAATTAAGCAGGTACCTGAGATTCTATAGTAAATTTATATACATTTCTATAGTAAATATTCTATAGTAAAATGACATACATTTCTATAGTAAATATTCTATATTAAATTTAGCATGGGAATAATGTTAATAGTTTAAAAAAGCTAATCATTTTTAGTGGGTTGTTCGGAAAATAATATTCGATTTTTAGAATAAACCTTTTAAAAGCGCAAATATACTTTGTTCTTTTCTATGTGCGCTGTGTCGTCCTAGACAATGCTTATATCCAAAATCTATTGTACACATCTAAAAGTCTACCAGTCGTCCATGCTTAGAATATTACTGCCACATATGATCTAGTGCTCCTGTTATATATTGAGTGATCCTTGATAAAATAAAAAAAAAGAATCAGCAATATTATTGGTCTTAACCTGGCGTCTCGGCTTCAGTCACTTTCCCACCGTCGTAAAATTGTTTCCTTATCTATTTTCTACAAATACTTTCATGGTAATTGTTCGGATGAGCTCTTCGTTAAGGTACCTAGACTTTATGAATTTAAGCGTGGTACTAGACTGATGACAAGGTCTCATCAATTTACAGTCGAGTTGGCTAGAAGGAGCCGTAAACTCTATGTCTAACACTTTCTTTTCTCGCACTTCTCGCCTGTAGAATTCTCTTCAAGCTGCATGCTTTCCAATCAAATTTAACCATCAAAAATGTAAATGCAATGTCAATCGCTATCTACTGTCTTCCCGATTACACTTCTTTTGTTCTCGTCCCTTAGTAATGTTTCTGTTTTCTAATTCTTCCGCACCCATTAACCCTTTGTGTCTCAGTGGCTTTACTGCCTTGCTTGTGTTGAACTCAATTTTAAAAATAATGGTACTACGCTCATTCAGGACATGGGTAAGCATGTCTTTCCACAATTTTCTGTCTTTTGTAGCTCTTATGAAATTTTGTCGTTTGCTATCTCTCCTAATCCCTGTTCGGTTACCCATCTACACAAGCTCATTAGGTAAGCTACACATTGTTTTCCTCTTTTGCCTTCAATAACTCTTGTGAGGATCAAACTTTCCGAGCCCTCTTTCCTCATTATGTGCCCCAGAAATCTCAACCGTCTTCTTCAGATGTTGTTATGGTCCGGTTCCTTGTACCACGGTGATAGTCCAAGGTAGAACCAATAAAGAAGAACTCGAATACAGGTATGGAATAACACAGATATATTACAAACAAGAATATATACAGAGAAGTAGAAAGTGTTAGTACGAACAATCAGGTTTAGTAGAGAGAACAATGTAGTCTCGACCAGTATCACTATTCCAATGTCTTGCAGTAATTGTCTGAATGTGACTTTGTCTGAATGTGACTGTGTTTTGGACTGCCTCTGACTCAACTGACTGACTCACTCGCTCTGACTGACTGACTGACTGACTGACTGACTTCTGACGGACATCACTCCAGACTTCAGACTGAACGATATCTAGTCACCCCCCCCACGAGGGCATCATGTGGCACAAGGCCGGTTTAACGTGGGATCTCCGAGCCCATGGGCTCGGCCAAAGATATGCCCTTTGAACCCGTATAAATGGGTTCAGGGTCGATTTACCTCCCCGAAAGAGACTCCGGCCTTTGGCGTAGCCTCGTTTGGGTTCCTCCCCGCACGAAGGCAGAGAGTTCACCTGATCAGCCGGTCAGCCGTTCGCCCGAGGCTGAACTCCCTGCTTCCTCTTGAGGTGCAGTATTTATTACGTGTGGAATAGTCCATTATGTTATTATGGGTAAGGTCCCATAACAGATGTTAAGTATCTGCAATTTTTGTTTCCATAATCTCTAAAACTTGGTCATATTTTACATTCCCCGTCACTGGTATTCTCAATATCCTGCTGTAGAGCCACATTTCTCTTGCTTCAAACCTTTTCTTCATCTGTGAAGTGATTATCCAGTATCCACACCGATATTCACTGACTGATGTTACATAGCAGTTCAGTATTTCTTTCTTTGTTTCTAACGAAATTTTTAATGTTTCTTTTTTATGTATCTGTCTCTTTCATAGTTTAACTTAAAAATTGAATACAAAAAAGAAAAGAGATGCCTTTACTTTTTTTTGCACGAGTTTAAGCTTGGTCATAAAGACTTAACAGATCGTGTGGGGACGGATTCACTTGTGATCAGACAGTACAACACAGGTTTCTGAAGTTCCGCAGTGGGGATATGAGTGTTGAAGATCAAGGTGATAGAAGATCTCCATTTGCAAATGACAATCAACGTCTGAAAACATTAGTCTAAAAAAAGCTCACGTCAAAGTACCAGAGAAATGTCCCAGATAATGGATCTCAGCATTTCAAGAATTATCGGACCATTTCAAGAGAATTGGCAAAGTGAAGACGCTCAATAAATTGGTTTCACATGAACTCAGTGAAAGTCAAAGACCTTTTGACGAGTGTTCGATGGTGAATCTGCGAAATTCGAACGATCCATTTCTTGATCCAATAATGACTTGTGATGAGAAGTGTATCCTTTTAGAAAAATCGTAAACGATCGGCTCAGTGGCTTGATTATGACGAAGCCCCCAAACACTTTCTGTTATATAGGAATAAAGCATCGATGCCGACACTTGAATTTGAACATAGATCGCCAGTGAGCAAACACGGGCGATCCCATTTCTAATAAGTAGATCACGTGTCCATAGAGGAAACGCAAAAATAGAAAATAACGTGACATTTAATTGATCACTTATTTCTAGTCTATCCTCTATTACTGTACGGTTAGCTATTCTCTACACTATTCCCTATACTATTTCTCTATACTGGTCACGATACGGATCACTATTCGGTGGTCACTATTTGATCGAGTATTATCGAGCAAGTACTATTAGTGCGAGTGCTATTCGAAGGCGTCTGACACCAGTATTGTTCAACGGCGTTACTATAGTTGTATCTGCGATTACAAAGTCTCTACTACATTGAGCATTACGAAAGTGACAACGACTATTCGTTGACATTCACAAAAATAGCAACGAGTGTTCGTTGACATCACAAAAAAATTTAAAAAAACGGGAGCTTCTACAGAATGTAGTAAAGGAAAGCAAGAAGAAAGGACTAAATATCAACTGTAAGAGGAAAGAATGTATGGTTGTCAGAAAAAAAATAAGTGCTCAACAGTCAAATAACAAATTGGGGATACCAAAACGAAGCAAGTAGAAAAATTTAAATATCTCGAAAGCGTTTTAACACAGGACGAAAATGCGATACCAAAGTGCAGAGGTGCACTGGTATTACTATTCGAAGTGCTATTAGTTTGAGTATTACTCGAAGGCGTCTGATGATCTCTATTTCTAGTCTATCATCTATTACTATTCTGATCGCTATTTCTACTCTATCCTCTATTACTATACGGACCGCAATTCCCCACGCTATTCACTATACTATTTTTCTATTCGGATCAGTATACGAGCGAATAT